ACATCAGAGATGGTCAACAAGCTACCAGAAGCTGGGCAATGCCAAATTCTGCCTCACAGTCTCTAGGGAATGTGGCACATCTTGAGACTGGACTTCTGGCCTCTTGCACTGTAAGAGAAAACATGTCTGCCACTCAGTTTGCAGTACTTGGTGACAGCAGCCCTATGAAATGGACACTCCTGATGTAAAGAGACTTGGAATCAGCAAAAGTAAAAAAATAACTAACCCCACTAGGAAACTACACATTCTGTCTAGCTCTCCCTTCTGGGTTACCCCAGGCTAGTTTTTTAATTGCCTTTGGACTATTTTCAAGTTTGAGTTCTAGATGAGGAATGACAATAGAAATGACTTTTTTTTTTTCCCTTTGGTACTAGAGATTGAACCCAGGGGTTAAACTCTGAGCCATATCCCCATCCCTTTTTATATTTCAGAGACAGGGTCTTGCTAATTTGCTTAGGGCCTTGCTATGTTGCTTGGGCTGGCTTTGAACTCATAATCATCCCACCTCAGCCTCCTGAGCTGCTGGGATTACAAGTGTGCACCACTGCACACCACTGGAAATGATTTTTGTCTGTGTACAAGCTAATGCATTCTGTGTAGTGGAGGAACAACCCTGAGTCCCCCAAACCGTTCCACTCAAAAGCACAATTTAAAGCTCATTTAAGTATACCTAAACATTAAATGTGTATGTTCTTCACATTCTCCTTTGAACTGGTTCTAACATGTTACCAGTTCCCTATTCAATTAACAAATTCAAAAGCATATTTGCCACATGCCCAGGGCATAGCTATATGACAATATGGTTCTTCTTTTTTTGGTCAAAATTATTATTTTTTTTAACATTGGAAAGCCTCAAATTGGGCTGTGGCTGGCATTTCTCTGCTGCGTTTTGCTGGGATCTTTGTGGGGGAAGTGAGTGGTGGGGACAGCAGCCCTACCCTGATCTCTTTAGGACTTCATTGTCGGAATTGCTTTCTTGAGAAAATGTGAGGCTTGGGAATGGAGAACTGAGGGTCCTCAGAGCCCCACTGCTCTTCATTTTTCTCAGCTCAGAGGCCTTACGATGCAGGAGGTGCTGGTTTCCTCTTCCGCACTCCATGAGAGATCCACTGTTGTCCTGCTGGAAGATAGAGGGAACTGGATCCCAGAAGTGGTTCACCCCGTTTAAACCACAAGGCAAGTGGCAAAGCCACTGAACATCCAGGACTCCAAGGATGACACCATTCCTGCCTCCTGTGGGCAGGCCTGAGATCGTCCCCAAAGATCCCCTCTCCCCTTGAGTGTGCGCAGGACTTCACCTTGCTTCTGTTCTGCGAAGGGGATGGGATGTCACCGTTTTCATGATTACATAAGATTGTAAATTCTGTCTTCCAAGCAGAAGTTTTGACACCCCAGCTGCCATGGGTGAGCTGCCTATGGCAAGATCCACATGGCCAGAAATCAGGGGAACTCTAGCCAACACTCAGCAAGGAGCTGAGGCCCTCAGTCCATCCATCCACACAGAAGAACTTCAGCCTGCCAACATCCAGACCCTTCCCCAAGGGACCTTCAGATGAGACCCTGCCCTGGCTGATACTCCTACTGCAGAGAGAGGCAAGGAAGCAGAGGACACACTGCGCCATAACCAGACTCCCGACTCACAGAAATGGAGACCACGATGGGCACTGTTTTAAGCCACTACGTTTGAAATGATTTCTAGGCCAGCAGTAGATAGTGAAGCAGCACGCTCTAGAAACATTCACCCACCATTCACCATCTCAGGTGTGCTCTGATGGATCATGGATTCTAGAGTTGGATGTGTGCGTGTTAGGCAACAGACATAAGAAATAAGTGATACAGGGCGTTAGCCAGGGTTCTCCCCAGAGACAGAACCAACAGGCTACCCAGCTGGAGACAGGATGCCCAGAGTGAATGTACTGGCTTGCATGGTATGGCAGCAGTGAGAGCCTCACAGCAGGCTGTGTGCTGGCTGGTGGCTCTGGGATGGCTCCTCCATCCTCGTCCTAAGGCCTCCAAACCAGGGAAGCTGATGGTGTAACTTCAAGTTAAAGGACGGAGACCTGGGAACCTGGAGAAGGGCAAACCTGGAATCTGGTGCCCAAGCAGGAGGTGGGCATGTCCCAGCTCTGTGGGGTGAGGGGACTCCATTTCGCCTTCTGTGTTTGTTCTCCTTGAGGGCCCTCGGCTGATTGGGTGGTGCTCAGCCATACAGAGGGTGGATCTTCCCCACCTGGTCCACATGCTAAGCTCTGGAAACACCCCAGCATCCACACCCAAAGTAATGCATTGCCAGATTTCTGGGGATTCCTTTGTCCAGCCAAGGTGGCAAGTAAAATTGGCCATCACAAGTGTCCTAGTCTGTTCAGGCTGTTAGAACACCGCAGACCAGTGGCTTATCAACTCATTTTTTCTTCGCAGTTTTGGAAGTTGAGAGTCTGACATAAGCTGGCCAGCGTGGCTGGGTCCCTGGCGAGGGCTCTTCTGATTTGGGGATGGCTGCCTCCATGCTGTGTCCTCACATGGTGGCAACAGGGAGCTCTGGTTCCTTCCTCTCCTTGCAAGGGCACTAATCCCATCATCTAAGCCTAATCACCTTGGAGGCTGCACATTGGGGATTAGGGCTCAATATCACCAATGCTACTTAACATAGCACATGCTATTGTTCAACGGTTACAAAGTGTGTTAGAAGTGCCTACACAACACAGGAAGGCAGTGTGAGGAAGGTGGGGAGTGGGCTGGGTGGGAGTCTGCTATTTTAAGCCTCTCCTGGGAGAGTGATTGGAGCAAAGACTGCAGGAGGGAGATGGCCATGCAGATACATTGGGGAGGAGCACTTCATGCAGAGGAACACTTCATACAAAGGCCCTGAGACTGACTCACCCCTGGAGTGACACAGGAGAAGCCAGAGGCCCTGACTAGAGCAGATGAAGGGCAGGGTGTGTGGAGTGCAGGTCAGAGGTACAGGGACAGAGGGAAGATCTTGCACATCCTCAGGGGTCACTGCAAGAACTTTGCTTTTACCTTTGGAGGAGTGGCATGCTCTAACCACTAAATGCTGGTCACTCCACCTCCTGCCCACTCTTGCAAATTGGAGAATAATCAGCCAAACTGGGCACCTTAATAAGCAAGATACCTGCCCTGTTCTGAGATAGTTTGTTGATGAAGACTTTCCAGAATCCTAGACATCCTTTGAGGACACCCAAAGCCCTGCCTTCTCCCACCTCCTCTGGCTGTATTCTCAGATCCCAGCAGAGTGGGCTGCATCCATCTGGCTTTGTGCCCTGGGCAGGAAGCTGTGCTGTGCAGGGCCTACATCCTACCTTTCTGTTAGGTCCCCTGCTGGTGTGTGCCCAGGAGCTCTCTCCTTCTGGCTTCTCAGCTTCTCTGTTTTGGCAGAATTCTGCCATTCCTGTGGCTTTCCACCAAGTGCTGCTCCACCAGCCTGCCCTGCAGCTACCATATCTTTTCCTTTTCCAAGGAGCACAGTCCATGCTCAGTGCCTGTGACCATCTGGCCCTCTCCTTCCCTGTTTGCCCAATGGGGTTTATATATGCTGCGGCCACCAACACTCCAAGGATTAAAATGCCCTATTAATGAGAATGATAGATGAATTTTAAGGAAAGCAATGAGTAAGGGTGTTGGTTTTCTAAATAAGTTCATGTCCAAGTGAAAAAGAGAAAAGCAGATTGCATATTTAAATTCCAGTGTTCTTTTAACATTACAAGTTCTACCCAGTGTCCCTGGCAGTACAAGTGTCCCAGTGTTGTGTTTCTATAAAGAATAACTGTATATGTGGCTTTTAATTTTATATACCTAAACAATATCTTTCGGAAAATAGTAACAAATCTTTGGGAAACATACATAAATTCAGATTCTTTCCCTTAAGGAAGGTCTCCTAATGTATGAGTTTCAAGGCCCCTGATGTGTGGGCCCCTCTTTGGAGGTGATAAGAGATGGAGATGAATTGGTGGCAGATCCCAGCAGGAAAGGAACAGTGGGACAGACAGAGAAGGCTCAGCTGCTGAGACCGGTTGGAAGGTGGGCAGGTCTCTCATCTGCTTCTGGACTTTGGGACAGCAGCTTGTACTAGGGGGTGCCAGGTGACTCCTGCTGCCTCTCAGACTGGATGGGACCAAATGAAAGCTTCAGACAGAGGCCCAGTCTAGGTGAGGGTAGCAAGGCCAGGGGCCCTTCATGGGTGTGAACCAGTATCAATTTCAGAGGCCTGCTTAGAAAACCCAGTCTTGGTTCACTTTCTGCTGGTGTTGCCCAGAAATTCTTGATAATTTTTAAGACCTTACACTTCCATTTTGCACTAGGCCCTGCAAATTTTGTAGTGGTCTTGATTACTGAACTTTCTGTGTCCCCTTGTACTTCTGCCGAGGCAAAAATACACTGGCCTCCCCCTAGTGCCTGCTGGAAGCCTTTCCACCCCAGGTACCCTCCAGCCCTGAGTTCTGGCCCTAAGTCTGGTTTCCTCCTGGGGGAGCATGGGGTCAGCAAAGCTGGCCTCCTTCAAGCTGTGTGTGGACTCAGTGCCCGACCTCACGGGTGAGCCACTGCATAAGTGAATGTCAGCAACTGCGTGTGACCTGTCAGACCAACCACGCGCTTCCTTGAGCGCTGTTCCTACATCTTCGAGTGAAACCACGGGTGGGACCCGTGGGTACACTGCGACAGATGATCTGATTAGGACGATTTTCTTAACTGCAGCAAGAAATGGAGACAATGTCCAACCCTCCTTAGGCTGACATTTCCTGGAGCTGGGGTCACCTGGGCAGGAGGGTGCACTCCAGGGGGACCAGGCAGACTAAAAGGCAGCCCGCAGTCACAAGTGAACTTCACGGTTGGAGCGCGCCTTGGTGTGGAGTCCTCATACCAAGGGGAGAGAGGGCGCACGGGATTAGGTCCATGCGCAGAGACCCAGGCTTGGGGCACACCCGCCGCCAAAGACTGTGGTGCACCTTTGCATCCCCGGCACTGTCCTAGCCCGCACCCACCTGGGCAGCAGAACTCCGGCAGCAAGGCGGCGGGAAGGGCGGGAGTCTGCACCCAAAGAGCGTCTAACCGCGCGTGGACAGTCTGCGCCTGACGCCCTGCGCGGCCGGGGCCTCAGATGGTACATTCCTCATTCCCTGCCTAGGCCACAGATGGTTCCGACCGGCTCCGCGCACTTCTCCCCGGTCGCCGCGGAGCGCGCCGAGGGACGTGGCCACGCCTCACTGAATAGTCATGAGGTGGGAAGCTCGGCCTCCGGGGCGGGGCAGGCCAC